AGGTCCTCTTGCTTCGGGGTCGGTGTTGCAGGATATGACCATGTTGAGCATCTGTTCCATCCTGAAAACATTGTCTGGCCTTGTCCAGTTTCCTGTACTTAATGATTGAAGGGTGGGGATACCTATTGGGAGAAGCTGTAGGAGTCCATAGTCAGCAATGAGGTCAATTAGTGGTTGGGACGTAGTGTAGTTGAATAAATGTCTATTGCGCATGTCTTCCCACGATGGGTGATGACAGTTAAAGTCTCCCATCCATAACATTTGATCTTCGCCCGATGGTCTGATTGTTTGAATATTCCGTTCGAGGAAGTGGCTCATGGCAGTGAGTGTATCTTGATTCTCGCAGGCGTTGTAAATGTTGAATATGGCTACTTTACTGTGGTTGCTTGATATCTGTAGGACGACTACGTCCGATGATGGGAAGGCTATTTGAGACCATGTGTTAGTGTTTATTTTAGAGTTAACGAGAGTTATCACACGGGTGCGTTTCTGTAGGTGAGTGTAGTGGTGCGTCAGATAGAGGACGTGCCACCTGTGGTTAGCTCGAGTATTATGGAGGAAATTTATATGAGGTTCTTGAATTATTATTATGTCCCAGTGGTTGGTGACTGGGCTGTTGAGAAGAGATTCTTGGGCGGATAGAGATGTGTTTAGGTTCTGCTGCCATATACATAGTCTGGCGGGATTGGGGGTTGGCTCATGGTGTTCTTCAGGCATCGAACCAGCTGGAGGTGTGCTTGCTGGATTCGTCGGATTCATCTGTGGGGGCGGGGGGAAGAGGTTAGAGTCAGGTTCGGGTTGCATGAGAGGGATGAAAGATTGTCCCCTAGGAGGACTGCTGTTGAAGGTTAGTTTAGTTTGGGTGAAGTGAGATGCCGGGAGGGAAGAAAATGCGGATTGGGAGCAGTTTTGATGTTGAGGTTGAGGTTGGGAGGATGTGCGTGTTGGAGGTTGTTGGGAGTTGTTGGTATTGCGTGGAGGGTGGGCTACTTGGGTCCATGGGGTCTCCGTCGGATAATATGGCATTCGGTTTTCAGGATAGCTGTTGTTGAGGATGTCGAGACAACAGAGGAATTCCGGGCACTTCCTGCTCCAACTTGTGTGATTCTTGACATTACAGTTGGTGCAAAATTCTGTTTTGTAGGCGCTACAGTCGGCTGTTCGGTGTTGATCCCCGCAAGTCCTGCATGTGTCCGAAGTTGCCATACAGTTGCAGGTGATGTGACCAAATTTCTGACATTTGGCGCACTTGATGGGCTCCTTCCTGTCCTTTCATGTCGAGAAGCATTCATTGCGGATGTATAGCCCCTCCTTGATGATCTTGTTGGCTGTCGGGGCATCTAGTGCTTGTAGGAGTGCGAAGGCCTTAGTTTGGGTTTGGGATCTTCTTGTTACCGGTTTGATCCATCTGGCGCTGATGAGGGATTTTTCTGGGAGGTTGTTTTCCTTCTCCGTTGCCCATATGAAGTCTTCGTCGGTGATCTGTGTGTGAATTGGTAAGTATTCGATTACTACTGGGAAGGCGCTGCTGCGGAACGATACAGTGGGTCCTAGTTTGTTCATCAGTGCCGTTCTGTTTACCGGTTTCCTGAGCCATGTGGCAAGTGAATCGCTCTCCATTTCTACCATCAGACCTCTGTTATGAAAGAGCGTGACTGCATGGACTCCTCCTTCGGGGGTGGTCTCATCTGAGATGAGTGTTATGGCTTCCTTGATTAGTTTGATGATGTCCGCGTGAGGGGTATCCGAGGGGAACATCTTTCCGCCAGGCAATGGGTCTAGGATAATTTGACGTGCTCATATCGCTGCTCTTGCTAGTGCTTGATCGATTGATGGGGGGAGGTGAGCTGCTGTTATTGTGCTGTATGTCAGCCATTGGTGCTGGTATGGGATCGTGTTTTCGTCTGCCGGGGATGCTGCTTGTGAGGCTTGACTTAGGCATTCAATAGATTTGTCCAGTGAGGGTGATAGAAGTTTCATAGACCCGTTGCATTCCTCGATGGAGTCGAGGAGGGTTCCTGCTGCCTCTTCGAAGTGTTCCACAGCGGTGTTCATGTTGCTGTCTCTTTCTTCCGTTTCTCTTTCCAACATAAGTCTCATCCGGTCTGCTTCCTTGAGGGTGTTGTCCAGGCTTTCTGATGTGGTGAGGATCTTTGCTACTTGGGGGGCAATTGCCGCGACGACGTGGTCTACTATTCTCGGGGTAAGGTTAGTGGTGATATGTTCGGATACTAATTCTGCGATTTCATTAGCTTCGTGTAATTTTAGAATGAACGCAACTGCTCTAATGGCTTCTATTGCTGGGAGCGGGATTGCTTTGAGTTGTGTGATATGGAACAGAACGGAAGTTATATGACATAGAGTGAACGGCTGGTCGATATGGCACAGTAGGTTTTTTGTGAGGTATTCTTTGGCTTGGTTAGTATTCATGACAGTATATGGCAATGCTTCTATGTCTTCCTGGGATAGTGTTGACTTCCTGGTTTGACGGGTGGTAGTGCCATTTGTCAGCGGTGGTGGCGAAGGGCCTCCTGCCGACGTTGTTCCTGGGTTTTTGTTGGGGTTTTTCTTTAGTAGTGACATATTTAGTGAGTTTTTTTATTTGTTAGGTGTTCTTTGTCGATGTTTGGGCCGCCATTGGGCGACTTTGACGCCATTGGGCGCGTTGATGGTTGAGTTTTTTTGGGGTCCTAGTTGGGGTGCCACTTGGCTAGTGTTGTGCGGGCTGGGCTTGGGCCTGTGGCCCAGGGCTGGGCCTGGGCTTGAGCAGGTATGGGCTTCCTAACATTTTGGCCCAGCCCTGACATCGGGCTTGGGCTTGGGCTGGGCTGGGCTTGGGCTGAAGCCCGGGCCTGAAATTGTAAAATAAGTGAACATGTCCTACAGTACAGATAGCATTGTGTGACAATGAAACATGGACTCGTAACATCATTCTAGACTCCCAGTCATACCATACTATCTTCACCAGAGTTCTCTGTACACCCATCAAGTAATTCATCCTCCTCATCTGCAGGATCTTCAGTCAATGACGAAGGTCCTGACTTGCGGAAGACCAGGTCATGACGAAGAAGGCATTTCATTACCTGTAGTGCCTCTACAACATCACCTTTGAGACGGTTGCGGCGCTTTGTAATTGTTAGCGCAGCTGAAGAAAATGCACGCTCGCTCGAGACCGATGAGGCCATGATTCCTAAGAAGTCGCGAGCAATAGCCGTCCAAACTGGCCCATACCTCGTTGCATTTAACTTTCAATAGATTCAGTATCTTCGTTGAGTGAATTCGTCAAAGAATACATACCCCCCACCACTGAACAATGGTTTGGTTTTCGGCAAGCTGGTCAAACATATTCACATAGTAGTTGAAGTCTTGTAGCCAAGGTTTCCGTGGGTCAATTGACGATGCTGATGCGCTGAAATGTCATCGTCGTCATCTTCCGTGTCATTGTCACTAAGTTCCCGCAGAAGCCGAGTAACTTTGCTGCCAGATCCACGACCTTTCCTTATGGGAGCATGGTGCTCAGCATCACCGTGAATGTGCACATAATACTTCTGAAACTGATCATATGGTGTCAAATAATTGTCACAATGATAATTTAAAAACTTACAATATGTTCTGCATTCTCGCGAGCCTCGTGTTGCAGACCCTCGTCCCAATACTTCTTGAAGTGGTTCATCTTCTCATTCGGATCAAGTACTGTTCATCAATTCAATCAGACGTTACTGGGTAGGACTAAAAACAATAAGTTATAACTCACACATCGCTATGATATAAGCATCGGAGCCACCAGTCTTCTCATAGTAAACCGTGATCTTGTCTATTGCAGCTTGAAGGGGTCGTTTGAAGTGGCCGTACTTCGGTCTTGCAAGTCTCGAATTCCATGCTTTATGTAGTGCTTCTAGTGCTGGAATGGCAAGGTGTAGACTCGGGTGTCGGTCAGATGAAAAGGCTTGTTGCGCGTGATCTGCGTGCTTTAAATAAGATGTGAATATCACACCGGAAAAGCAAGCCAGATGATGAGAAATGAGAATACATACAGCGAGGAGATCGAGAAACAGTTTGACGCGATCCCATTCATCATTCCGTAGCTCTAACTCGCCAATCTTCTTCCGCTTGTCCAAGTTCGGCTCCTTCAGGCCCATTTCATAGATAAAGGTATTGATATACTGTATGCCACACGTTATAGGATTAAATATGGCACTGCTAACATTACTTACCTGTCGTTGTGTTTCTGCGTGCTCTAGCATCGTAAATGTTGATGACCATCGAACAGGCATATCGAGTAGCAGCTGAAGGGGGCGTTCAACACCCTCTCGGATCTGGATGTCCTTAAAAAGTTGTTTCCGTTGTGCTGATGATCGTTCCTGTTCATTCAGTTTAGTTAGTAGTTATGAATCAATCAAATTATATATACCTTCACAGAGATTGCTCGAATGAGCCCAACTTCGTCTCGATCACGCCCCATAGTACTCGGCACATGCTCTTCGGGGCTTGCAGGGTTATAGTATTTTGATTTCGTATGAGTCTTGATGAGTGCCTGTGTTGCGATATTGATAACGTGGGCAAGACACCTGGGCAAAGCATCAAACTAATACACCCTAGATTAATTGATGAACTACATACCGGATGCGGCGTCCCTTCGCATCAAATTCCTTCCCCGTCTTCTTCATAATCTGTTCCAAGAATTCATCCATCATTGAGTCGTTATTTGTTGCATTATCGCAGGTAATGTGTCCAATCTAAACATGATATGAGAACATGAGGACTCTCAACAGAATTAAACCCTACCTTGTGTGAGATGTCGAGTCGATCAACAATCTTGAAAAGGACCTGACCGAGGTGTTGTCCGTTATGGGAGTTATTGAGGACTGTAAAGCCGAATAGTGCACTTTCAAGCTCCCATACGCTGGGTGATAGCTCTTCGATCCAGTGGCCAGAGACGGCAAAGTACCCATCAATATTGGAGGCTTGCCACGCATCGCACGTATTGCTAACCTCGCCTTTCACAGCGTTACTCTGGAAATAGTGATCACAATGTATATATATATTAAATAAAAGCATGAAGCTACATTCAGCCGTTCACGAAGGTGTTTCATCTGTTTTTGAAACATAGCAATGATCTCGGCCCGCGTTACTTTACGATCTGGAATTTTGACGCCATTTGTGGCCCTCGAGGCCACGTCAACCAATTTATGGAAGTTAGGATGGTCGAGTGCTTGTATTGGCTAATTGCTGTGGCTCAGACAACATGTTCGAAGTATGCATAAGTTAAATGACGGACCTGATCTGTGGCAATGAGCCACTCAGTTGCTGCCTCTCGGAACAGCTTATCGGAGTATGGCAAGATACGTTCAGCTTTCGGACGCTCATGTAGATGGTTGTCGAGACCAGTTTGACTTGCACTGGCCTTTAGCGTGTCATTTCTGCGCTTAGCAACGGCTTTCGGAAGCATTGAATCAAACGAATTTTCGCCCGCCCATTTGTTATATGTAAGCTAGAATGTACATTGAGCAATTTTACACACTCAAATATACTACGCACCTCGTGATCCTTTTCGAGGTGACGGTGACAGGTTGATAAGTCCTTCACAAATCGTTTATGCGGACCTTTTTGGCTAGTATGGGTGGTGGTGTATCAGTAGTGACACGATGCTACCATCAAAGTTGATTCAGACTTACGAGCATAGCTTACAGTCACGGTAAGTGCGAGGCTTTCCATCAATACCATTTTCAGAGTACTTGGCACTGAAAAATTTATCAACATCTTGACCTCTATTCTCATGCCTCGGCTTGTCATTGCCATTTGAAAGGCTCGCGACGTCGATATCAGCAAGGAAGCCACTGTCATCAACTGCATCTGCATATTTTTTGGTTGCATGAGTGAGTTACAGTAATGAGGTTTGAAATCGCACCTTTGTTTTTCTTCTTTGGTGCCTTTGTAGTGGTAGACAATGAAGGACCGCCAGAGCCAGTGTGTTCCAAGTCTGATTCAGACAAGATGGTAGTACTAGCTGCATTTCGAGACTTCTTCTCTGCACAAAGTGAGGTTGAGTGACATACATGGATAAGTATTTGTAAACCAACATACTCTTTGGCCTTTTCGGAGCCATCGAGCTGTCATTGTCATCTTCACCACTGGAAGAGTGGTAGCTCAAATCGGCCTCAGATACATCTCGAGATCTTTTGATGCCAGGTGGTAGAACGTGAGAAGTTTCTGCCGCTGCAGGAGGTAGTGGTAGACATTGCTGGTATTGCTCAGATGCACGCTTGGCATCCTCGGCTCGTTTGAGGGCAACAGCTTCAGAGTGTGCACTGATTTCGGGAGTAGCGGTGTTAGACGCATCGGTTAATTTCTTCGAGGGAGCAGGTGCGCGTTTAGAATGCAATGGTGGCTCTTGGTCAGTTTGATTTGTTGCCGGCATATTTCTGACTGCAATGGGTTTGTATGGTCCGAGTCAATGGAAGGTTTCTGCATTTGAAATACGTATATTAACTGTATAGATGCTGTCGCAATACTGTCAGCACGAACCGAGAAAGTAAGTTACAGGCCCGGGCCTGAGCCCTGGGTATGGGCCTGCAGATGTTGTGGGCCCAGCCCATGGCCCTCGTCAGCCCACTCATAGGGCTGGGCTGGGCTGGGCTTCTATAGGGCTGGGCCATGTGGGCCTGCGGGCCTGAGCCCTGGCCCTGCACATCACTACACTTGGCATGAGACCAAGGAGTGATGAACGCCAGCTTACCATGCATGATTCCATACAACAGAACAGCATGGCCGAACAATTGATCCATACCCTTGTCAAGCACGCACGGGCCATGCTGATCGTGAAGAACCTCCCAAAGTTCCTGTGAGCAGAAGCTATCAACTATGCCACTTGGCTCAAGAACCACATACCTTCTAGGGCAACTCCCGGAACTCCATATGAGCTAGTGCACAAGGGCAAGCCGAACCTTAGCCTGGCACATGAGTTCAGCAGCACAGTGTATGTTCAGGTCCTGGATGGGGGAAAACTTGAGGCCAAGGTGGAAGAAGCAATTTTTGTGAGTGTAGATGTTGAGAGCAAAGGCTACAGAGTGTATTGGCCATTGAAGTGTCGGATTTCCATGGAACATAATGTGACCTTTGCGCCCATGGAGGTTGTGGTAGGAGAGGATGTCCCAAATGAGGGGGAGTCTAAACCACTTACCATTGGCACACAGAATCCAGGTGTTCAGGCCACCTCCCCACCCCAAGCTCCTACAACTTCCACTAAACTGACTCATCAACCTGTAACTCTGCCAGCGCCAAGGGCGACTCGAGTAAGACCACCCCTGGGCTACTACAGTGCCCTTAATGAGGGGGAGAGTGTCTCCCTTGCTGTTGAGGCCAGCTTCGAACCTGAAGAGTCAGACTTCGTTGATGAAGAGGTACTCACTTACCAGCAATTTGCCATGGCCACAGTTGAGCTGAAAGTCATGCTTCAGCAAGCATTGAACAGTCCGGATGCCATTGAATGGCAAAAGGCCATCGACTACAAGATTAGTCAGCTGGAAAAATTGGGCATGTGGGAAGTGGTAGATGCACCTGCAGGTGTGAACCTGATACCGTGTCATTACATCTTGGCAATGAAATGTGGACCCAACGGTGAGAAGCTGAAGCTGCATGCTTGCTTAGTAGCAAACAGTCAACAACAGAAATATGGGATAGACTACTTTGACATGTTCGCCCCCACCTCCAACATGTCAACAATTCAAACAGTCCTTACTATGGCAGCCAAACGTGACTGGGAAATTCACCAGGTCGACATCAAGAGTGCTTATTTTTATGCAGAACTCAAGGAGGAAATTTTCATGTGGGCGCCACTGGGATACTTGAGGGAAGGAGATGAAAGGAAGGTGTTGAGGCTGAAGAGGAGTTTACTGGTGTGACGCTCGGACCCACGCTGGGCAGCAAATAGGCCATTTTGATACTTGTATCAAGGAGCATAGAACACTATGAGTTTCCTGTCCTCACACATTCATTATCCTGCAAATAATCTTGTCCGAAACCAAATCTGCTTTTCCTGCGCTTCGCACATCCGCTTATCCACACTTTCCCGTGCTTCGGATACCTCAGAAACGCATTAGGAAGGTCCCTCATCTATCCATAGTCCATCCAAACCCCATTGGTATGTGAATTTCCTTACCTCAAGGCTTGTAAAATGTGTTGCAGCCTTATTACATGTCCTTCCATATTTCCTATATTTCCTATCCCTTCCCTCTCTGAGTGAGAGTTTAGACAGTATAAGTTGACTACTTCTTAGTATTACTTACTATACTTCCCTCATACTGTATACCTTTCTCTATAGGTTTACCTTCGGAGTAGTCCCTTGTAGTGTGCGCTTTTTAGCCCCTATTAGGTTCCTTATACCTCTCTATACCTAGACTTTCCTTACCTCACAATATACCTTTGCCCTCACTCTCCCCGAACCTCGTTCCTTGACTTCCCTATACCTTGTCTGCACTTTCCCGTGCTTTCCGCACCTTCAGCCGCATGTTCCCGCACCTCGAATAGCCTCAGATACATTCCTATACCTCATACATTACCTGTCCACTATTTTCCCGCGCTTAATGTGCCCTTGGGTCGCACATATCCATCATCATTCTAGTAGCAATTCCCTTTAGGGTCAAACACATCTGTTTAGACATAGCAGCTAGGCATTAGCTTGACCCAACCTTTTCTTGCCACACAGCAAGATCATTGTTTCCACACCAGGTCTGAAGCAGGCTGGATACGAGTGGGCGGAGGAATTAGCAGGAGTATTTGGGAAGTTGGGTTTCAGATGCTCACAGGTGGATCAGGCAGTGTACTTCAAGTGAACCGCAGACAAACACACCATTGTCACCATCTCGGTCGACAATATGGCTGTAACTTTGAAGCATCTCCATCACATTACTCTATTCAAGGAGCAGCTCAGTCAATACTTCGAAATCTCGGACCTTGGAGAACTCAACTGGCTGTTGGGTCTTAAGGTTGAGCATGATTGTTCCGCCCAAACTATCACTCTGTCACAAAAGGCTTACATTGACACGATTCTAGAGCATTTCCAACTCATGGATGCCAAGAGCACTCAGACACCAATGGAAGTAGGTGCCATTTTATCTGACACACACTCCCCAGTGACCCACACACAGCATGAGGCCATGAAGGATATCCCATACCAGCAGGGTATCAGCTCCTTGATGTATGCAGCCACTTCTATGTGTCCCAACATTGCATTCTCCATTGCAACACTATCCCAATTTATGTGTAACCCCGGTACTGCCCATTGGGAAGCTACCAAACATGTCCTTTGCTACCTGAAGGGTACTGCTGACTACGGTATAACCCTAGGCAGCACGGATGCTGGCCTGGAGGCCTATGTTGACTCGGATTGGGTGTCACAGGCACATTGTCACTCGATGTCAGGGTATGTTGTCTTGCTAAATGGAGGTCCAGTAGCGTGGAGCGCATGAAAGCAGCCCATCATAGTGCTATCTACAGCTGAGGCTGAATATGTTGCACTAACTACAATTGGACAGGAGATTCACTACCTACACTTCCTCATTGAGGAGCTCTACGGTACCTCTACTATCCCCACTCCCATCTATTGTGACAACCAGGCTGCTATAGCCCTGGCCTCAGACCAAAAGTTCCACTCTTGCACAAAGCATATCAACCTCTGCTTCCATTACATCCGTGCACACGTCAGGAATGGAAACTTCAAGCTCTCGTACTGCCCAATGGATGATAACATCGTGGATGCCTTTACCAAGCCCTTACCCCGTCCACGGCTCCAGAAGTTATGTGGCCTAATGAGCCTGGATAGTGCTCAAGGGGGAGTGTTGGATTCAGAATCAAAGGCCAAATAGGAGACGTCAAAGTGAAACATTACGAGCACTACCTGAAGGCACAATGGATGACAAAGTGACATCAGCCAAGGTACACAATATGCAACCATTTATTTTTTATATGCTACTTCATTACCTATCACTATGCTAACTAGCTTAAAGCTACGAGTCGTACAAATGAGCATCTCAGTCCATTTTCCCGAGACTGAGATGTGAGTCAAAGTCCCCCCATTCTCATTATCACATCAGAGCTAACTATCCATAGAATATATTCGTTCTAGGTACTTACTAGTCCTATGAAGAGTCCGTTTTCCTGAGACTGAGATAATATATTCGTTCTAGCTGATCCCGTTCGTCCCCGATCGTTTCAACTCGCTTGACTTGCCTGCAGGGCCAGATAGCCCAGTACGCATGAAACCTCGTCTCCAACGCTGTTCACCCAATCTGTGATCTGGGAGAGTACTTCTGTGCGCGTCCCTTGCAGGCATGGTTTCTTGGTATCAATCCTGCATTCGCTGCATAAGTTATACCACTGAGGTCCAGTAGTTCACCTGAAGAGAAATGTATAGTTGTTGCATTAGAAACGAGTACAATGCTTACATGGTAGGTGAGTGTGTAGAACGTGCAACAGCTTGAAGACTCACGGAAGCTCTTGGTCTCCGAAATATCTCTGATGAAGTGAGCGCATCCAAGCCTCGAATATAATATTACACAAGGCCAGGCTGTGAAAAGCTGAGCCAACTAGGGAGCACTCGACTTTCTTGCATCCGCCGCAGCAAAGTCGGAGATCACATCTTGACAATACGAGGAGAACTGAAAAAGGCAATGGGGCTGTATCGAACGACGTCAATATGTAGAGGCGCGATTGCTTTCTTCTCAGGCACTAGTCACGCTGAGTAGAAACTTGGGCTGGAGCGAAGAAATTCCACAAAGCTTACAGAGGGAATCCAGATACATGAGAGAGAACGTCCTTCATATTAACTTTCCTGGGCCCAGTTATTTATCAATTGCCATTCTCCCAGAAGGACGTGTCAGAACGGGGGAAGTGGTGTGACGTAGAGGGAGGTAAGGGACTTGATTTCATTAATTGAACATATGCTAGTGGCAGGTATATCATGCTGTTCCTCTGGAGTCTCCGAATTCATGAGGCCATTTCTGTATCGGGCCCACAAGCTTGAATTTTTAGTGCTAAAAGTCCAGAATACTTAAGCGCCAGATTGCAATGCTTACCTCCTAATAATCCATTATTTATACAGTAAAGCTTTTGAACGGTCCTTTGTGTGCACAAGGATTGTAGAAGTACTTGTAGAGCTACGCAGAACTGTCGAATTGGCCGCCGACGACCCAGAGGTACTACGGTTTGTATGTTACTATTTGGTCAGCGCTCATGAATTTAATATTCGGTCAAGACTGCGGCCATCCTCCTTCGTTCCCAACCAACGCATCAGCGTTTCGCCATCGTCGCAATCAATGTCGCGCCCTTCACCAAAGTTACTACATCTTACGGTATCTGTTCCGGCTGATATCAAAGGTCGTCGGCGAAGCGGGAGCATCGTCAAGGTCGAAGAAGTCGGTGGGCGTACAGAGGAACTTTTGGACCGTAGCGCGTACCTCAATATCAATGCTAACTGGGTGAATGCAAAGGGTGCATAACACTACTCAAGTAATGTGATTATTCCACTAAACCACCTGCTCAGGTGCATGGCTCATACACGTCGTTTTGGTCTTCATGGGAAAGATCATTATCGATACTATACCTGGTATGACGCAACAAATCAGCTGGACACTCGTTAACCTTATATACCTCAATGTACGCTCCGTTCATCCTTCGGTCTGTTCTGCGTTATATTTGACATGCCATGCATCTCCGCAGCTCTCGTATCTCATGTTCCACTGGGTTACCGGCATTCCCTTCGACAACGAGCTTCACGGCGGCGCATATGACGATCTCACACTCTGGGAGCAAATTGATGACGGCGCGCAATATACACCATCTAAAAAGTGGTTATTCACTGCACCTATATTACTGTACGTCTTGTGCTTGTGACGCACCGTATTTCACTCACGGCATGCATACCAGTTTCTTGGCTTCGACACACTACACGAATTACAATCCTTGGCTATTCGCTATCAATCTCACCGCTCTCATCGTACTTGCCATCATCCCAAAACTCCCTCAGGTACGTCGTCCACGTCACAACCACCTGACTTCCCACTCAATTCCCCTTGCGTCCAAATTAATGAATATCCAAACATGACCACTTTACTTCAGCTTCACAGACAACGCGTTCGTTTCCTTACAGGCGACGCCTCAGGCGTCTCAACGCCTGTCACGCCCTCCTTCCCGAGGATGGACCAGAATCCACTACATGCCACAAACCCAGCAGATGCTCACTTCGGGTAGTATCGTGCATCCCTTCGCATTGTTCAGCACTAGTGTTATCTCTTTACGTAAGGAGGTTTTCTTTAGCCATCAGGGGAGGAACGCAATCTGCACAACATATACATAAATTCCCATGCTGCAGTGATAATCTCAACTAATGGTGTATATATCCGGGCAATGGCAATTGTAATGCATTGTGCTAGATTCTACGTGACTCCTGCTTCTGAGTTAGATCTTACCCTCTAATTATTTCCTTTCCACCTGCGGCACCGACATGATTCCACGAGGAATCTCACTTATTGAGCGGGTATGATGTCTTCGCTCCCACTCGGGGCCGACACATCGTTGTAGTGTGAAAGACGCAGCCTAAACATAATAAGCACAGAGCTCGCAGCAAAGTAAAACATACACATGAGTCGTTACGATGTGAAAATGAACACAGAAAACCCCTTGCGAGCGAGAGGATTAAACAAATGAAGAACAGGAAGACATGGCCACAGAGTGAAAGTGTGTGACAATGCACCAGCGGTGGCTGAACGTTGACACCAGTGCGAGAAACCATGGTGTGACGAAGGAAATAAAACGCAATACAAGATCGGACGCACAAATTCCGAAGGAGCATCAAAATAGTCACTTTGCCGACTGCTGGGATGTATATAGATGCCTGCATCCAACATGTTAGTGGCCGTCCGGACATAGACGGCTGATAGGGAACAATCTGAGAATCCGCTGAAACGCACCTTATCTCTTACATCTTTTTCAAAATTCTTGTCTGCTGCGACGTTGACACATATACATCCTTCTTTTAACCATTCTGTCTTGACCTTGTATGATGCACTGGGCACAGCACTGATAACGACGTCTGAGATCGCAAGACATTCTTCCAGTGAGAGCGTGCACAGGTGCGAAGTATGGTGTGGGAGGTATTGCCGAGCAGAGGTCGGGTTTGAGAAACGAGGCCGCTTTGTATATTCCTTCGAAGCAAATAAGCGTAAGTAGAAGAAAAGAAAGGTAGGTAGGTGGTGAGCTACCTGGATAGAATCAATATCGGCGGAAAACACTCTCGCGCCATCATTCGCAAGGAGTGCGGCGAGAGGGCGTCCTACAACTTCTGACCTGTGCGATATTCTAGGCGACATTCCTTAGAAACTGACTGCACCGGAGCCTTACCGATTGATTACGGTCACAGTCTTTCCGTAAGCGCGATCGCCATATGTAAGGATGTTGTTATACACTCCAATATACTCAAGGCATTTGACAACGCCAAGGGGAGTGCAAGGGATGATGGATTTGACTGTTCCTGGTGGAGGAATATCGTCTATTATTGGCTGGGTGACTTTTGAAGACGGAATAGTAGATGCAAGCGAGGCAGGCGTGATGAAACGGATGCTGATTATTTTGAGTTAATAATAGCCTGATAATGTCAGGGGAGATATGAACGTACTTGTGGTACAGATTATAGTGAAATTTCGAATGAAGACCTTCCACATCCTTCAGTGGAGAGACAATCTAGGACAGCACACTTAGATATTCGCGCAGGTACATCATGATGATATAAACACAGTACCTGCTGCAGATAATGGTCCTACAAAATCTTTTCATCAATTTAAAGTGATTTGCTAATTCGTGCTCCCCGGTGCGCACCTGCTGGCCTCCAAATATTGGATAATACACCTTTGTAATAATCAACAAGTGTTCCACGAGGCCTCCGTTGAACTCACCATAATACCATCAACGTTATCATCCTCATTAGCCTCAATTATTACCTCCTCCACACCGTCCCCATCTGACCTCGCTTCCTCTCCTTCATTCTGCTTCACTGCACTCCCCACCTCCTTGAGAATAAACCTTACTCCAAGCCCCTCACATTGCTTCCTCGTGAAGTCAGCATAGAACCTACTCGGAGACGCGTTGGTTGCCAAGATTCCGATAAGCGTCGGTGTACGATGCCGCAAGGCTGCAAGTCCATCCTTAACTTCAGCGCGGAAAGCCTCCGCGATAGGGTCGACTTTGAGGAGAACACCTTTTCCAGCAGCATCTGGGGCCATTCTACCGATGTGGAGGGTAGATGTAGTCGATTTTGTTCCGCCGTTAAAACGAGCTGTCTAGTAAAATTTACCTGCTTTGCGACGACTTTGCGATCACCTTGTCGATCATTGATAACCACGTGGTCGAAATAATTATTTTGGAAAGCCACAACCCTTATGTAAACAGACCTCAAGCCCAAGGTCATCGCTGGCTCAATATCATTGAAGGACCGTGTCAATGGGCCCGATTCTTAAAATTCCCATCCACAGAATAGTGTCAGTGGTAGGGTGCAACCGAATGGACTCAAGACTGATAATATTCTGGTAAAAAAAATACAATATATACCTGTGGAAGAATTCAAAGTTCGTGAGCATGTCCACATCTACTCCATCCAGAAAACACGCAGAGCATATGCATATGTCGTCCTATGTCGTCCCATCATTCACCGTGAACGCCGTTGACTGCAACATCCTCGACACCGTCCGCAAGTGCTGAGGCCGAGTCCTCAGTTGCTTCTTCTTCTTCTTCATCCGCCATCTTCGCCGCCCGCTGTGTAGTTTCTGCTGAGTATAATCCAAATACTTGACAACAACTACTCACCTTCATCGCCTCTGCTTCATTGGAATAGTGCCGTCCTCTAGCTCGTACGAAAGCTGCATGCTTAGCAGCAGCTGTACCAGCAAATAAATCTCTCGCATTGAGAAATGATGAATGCGACGCACATTCCTCATCCATCTCCTCATCCGTCTCGACTTCTTCACCTGGGCTGCCTTGCACAGCTCTTATCTCCGCTTTAGCCTCATTCGGGAGATTGAAGCTCGTGCTCCTGCTAGATCCAGTGCTAGCTGACCTTCCAGATGAAGCGCGCCCCGCGCTGCTAAGAGAGGTTCTGCGAGAAGACCGCCTTGATGTATCTGCGCCTGTCGGTGATACCGATCGTGGAGAGGACGACAAATATTCCATTGGAGAGGGCACGCGCCCGCCTAGGTCAAGCGATGGGATATCTGTTATATACAGTTTTAGATCACATGTAATGAATGATTGATAAAAGGGACCATACCGCCCTCCACTTGGTCTGTTTCAGCGTTATACCGTACGTATGGCGTCTTGGGTTCCGTAATCTTCATAAGACTGTCTTTCTGGATCTCAGTCAACGCGAGATTCTCTTCGTCCCATTGCAAGCTACTACACACTCAAGGAGATTAACAAGGACACTGATTAGTATCTGCGCGGAGGCTTACTGCGATTGTGACCCTGGTTGTTGTGGAACTGCGTTCTTGAGGATCCCCTTTGGTTTGGGATTAGAGGCTGATCGTGGCAAGCGGGCTGGTTGAGCTGGGTCTTTGATAATCTCAACGGAAGACATGATAGTGATTCTTTGTCGTTGCTGTCAGTACTAGTAGTTAAGATGCGGCTGTAGGTGATCGTGGATGTGCCGGAGCCAGCTGGAAGTCATGTTGAACTTCCCCATCTTTGAGGAGCATACCATATCAGGCATGTAATACCTTTCCTGGCCAAGCGTTTAAAAGTGATGCGTATGATGTCCAGATTGTATGTACTCTACAAATGATATCGATCCAACAGGTATGCGACTAGAATCTACGAATTCAGGTTGATGATCGCGCTCACGAGTCTCTCTCCAGCCCTCTCGGGTTCCTGCCTCGCCATCTCGATGATGCTCAAAAGCTTCTTGATGCCAACTTGCAAATGCAAGGCCGCATCCTCCTCCGCGTTGAGGTCAATAGCAAACCCTGCATCTGCAAGCATGCGCATTGTTTGTCGGAGTTCGTCTTCTGAGGAGAAGAGCTGCACTTCGCGTAGGACTCGTTCGAGTGACGAAAGGTTAGAAATCGGAGGTACGCGCAACTCAGAATCGAACACATCAGACAGGCCAAGCTCTGTGAGAAGGGGACGCAGTGAGGTTGTTGCTATCACGAGTAGACGTTTGTCCTGAGGACATGGGATTAGACACACTCCACATATATCTGACAGAAATGCGAACTTTAGGTGGTTTGCGAGCAATAAGGACAAGAAGCGTCTGCAAAACAGGATTCGAGAACCTGCTACCGAGCGACGTCCACTCTGCCGGTTAAAGTCAGTGTAATGGATACAGCCTTATGAGCGATCCCACCTAGCAGTCGTTCAAGGTTGTCAACGACGATAACGCTCAGTGGACTCTTATAGCTGTCGGTAAATGTTCTGGTGATGAACTGTATTTTCTGGGCTTCCGAGAATCCAACCATGCGATCAGGTGAAATGAGCTTGATGAACGGGAATTGGGAAGCCCAAGCAATGGATGCAGCCAGCACAGTTTTTCCTGACGAAGGGGGTCCGTGGAGCAGGATGCTAACACGCGGTGTCCGTGTCGACCTGGCAACCTGGTTGACAAATAGCTTGCCTTTATCGAGGATTTCCTGGAAAACATCAGTACAACATATACTGAAGACGCGTAGCATACCTCAACAATTGGGTCATGATGAATGATCCCATTCACAATAACATCCGTCAGCTCCTCTTCCGACACACCATACGCTGGCTTGATTTCCTCAAGTGCCTTGAGGAAATCACCATGATTGACTCTAAGCTTGTCGACGTCCTCCGAAATGCCTGCCATGGTGCCAACCTTGACATGGCGATTGAAGGCAAAACTGGTTGCACTCTTCACGAAGCCCTCAATCTCTGCACCCGAATAGTTCTTCATCATGGCAGCGAGTTCAGCCAGGTCAACATCAGCGTCCATCACATTATTGGTGCGCATTTTAGCAGTGTGAATGCGCAGGATCTGGAACCGTCCATGCTCATCCGGTAGGGAAATTTCCATATGTACTTCAAGACGTCCAGGACGCAGCAAGGCCTCGTCAATCATGTCGATACGATTTGTCATACCGATGACGAGTATGTTGTTCAGTTGATCGATACCATCCATCTGAGAGAAGTGAGAGATTGAGCTAGCAAGGAAATACTGTACATTACCTTTGACAAAAGCTGGTTGACCACGCTATCACCGACGCCTGTTCCACTGTTCGTGGAACCACGTTGTTTGAAGATAGCATCTAGTTCGTCGAAGATGATGATATGAAGGCCACTCTCGTCTCCCTTTTCCTTGTACTGTTCATTGTTTCAACACAAATGGGTAAGTGGGAACAGAAGCCGTAACTAACCTCTTTCTCAGCATCCGCGAAAAGCTTCCGGACATTCTCCTCTGATGCACCAACGTACTTGTTTAGAATCTCAGGACCATTGACAATTTTGGGCTCCCGAGCATTCAGCATTTTTCCAATCTGACGAGCTATGAGGGTTTTACCAGTTCCTGGTGGACCGTGGAGAAGAATACCTTTCATGTACGACATTAGACGTTTTTCAATTCGTTTTTTTAAATGAAAACTTACCCTTTACATGCTGTATTCCAAGCTTCTCGACGAGTGCTGGAGGGAATACGCGTGACGCAAATGCACGACGGAAGATAGCACCGAATTCCTCGTCAAGACCACCGATACCCATCTCTTCAAATTTGAAATTGGGCGCGATGATAGCATTCGACGCAGCCCTAGACATGAATAATAAGTGGAGCCTAATCCTGAGATTATAAGACTCACTTTTTCGCACTTGATTTAATCTTAATCATACTATCGCTTGCCTTCATGATAGTGACGTCAGTCCTGTCCATCACAACACCCATCTCCATATGTGGTTGTTTTCCGAAGCGGGAGTTGTCTTGCTGATTCGGGAGCTCTACCACGCTTATAGATGCAACAGTCATTTTGAGCTTCTCTCCTTTGAAGTCGAAAATGAGTATCTCGCCCGGGGCAAAGACAACATTATTGAAGATCTTGACGAAGTTGCGCGAGATCTCATCTGCAGAGTAAGGCTCTTGGTTTTCATTGCGATTTCGTATAAAGCCGACTTGAATATCGATGGATTCAAGAAATGGGGGTGCTTGAGGGATCATGTCAATGGTGACGTCGTCGCCTGACAGAGATACACCTATCCATTGGCGCTGCGTGAGTCCGATGGCGACTGTGCCCGGTCTGATTGTTCCAGAAGTGTCATGGCTACATCATGTTTAACATGACTTGAATCAGGTAGAAGATGCCGTACCAACCATGTTGTAAAGGGATATTCCCTCTGCACAGAATCACGATCTATCTTGCGTACCAAAACCTGCGCACCATTTGAAAAGTCCGAGGGGCAAACAACCAAGCAGTTCCTGAGAGCAAGACCCTCGTTTGGCGTAGTAACTACTGCGTAGCTATAAGTGTAGTCAGCATGAGTAGACGTGTAGGGTCATGCAGACATACCTCATTCCAGGACCAGAACGTGACGGAGGGGGCTTGCGATCGTATGATCTTTTCTCGAAGAGAGACTGAGAAGGGTCGTTGTATTGTGTCTGTGGAGGAAGGTTACGTGCCATGGGACCTTGGAACAGATTCACGAGGAACACTTGAGTATGACGGGGAAGGCGATGGTTGGGAAGATCTGGAGAAAAAGGACATTGTATGGTAGTTGTAGTGAATCCAAATATTAACGCAGTCGTGGCCGCAGCTGCAAATGGTAGAAGGTTGTTTGTATTTATTAAATTCTAAAGCTCTTGCCAAATAGTCATCAATAATAAACCCACTCCCTTGGTCGCAGCAAACAAACGCATTTGAAATGCTCAACCTGTCGACGCCGCAGCACTTCGAATTATACGGGCTAGAGTATTAATTCTACCTAAAAACAATGTTTGTAAATGAGTGCATGAAGATGCCCACATTCATTCTAACTACCTAATAAATCATATGCTCAAGCGGAGTCCCAGTTGTTTCATACATGTGAAGCTTATTATTACAAATTGAGGTTTTGTAACCGAAATCTTGTTCTCACCAAAGTGAAGTTACCAAAATAGGGCATACCAGCTGAGAAGGAGAGGAGATGACTCTGCCATCACTAGCACGTCCAAGAAGTTCGCACACTTGCGAGCAGCCACAGTCTTCCTTTTCAACCAGCCATGTTCTCTGTTGCACGTATTATCGACCATGATTTTCCTATGGATCGACGTTCATGTCAATTGTTTGGTCCGACTGCTTTGGTAGGTCAAAAACTCTTTCGTAGAACACTGTACAGGAGAGGTTCACAATTAATGTCACATCATCCATCAGGTTGTCCAGGCGCTCATGGGTGTGCTCGTAATACTTTCGCTTGTGTATAAGAGGCATCGTGAACCACAGAAACGACCTTGGAGAATATGGTTCGTCCTCATGGCTTACAGCGATGTAGGAAACCACTGAAGCCTTCTATAATCACAGGCTCTTTGATGTATCCAAGCAAATTGTTGGACAGATGTTTGTACACGGCGTCAACGTTCTGATTTCCAACCTTGGTTCACATCATAATGCCGGCAATGCCTGCACTTACTACTTTCTCAATGTTCTCATCGATACCACTCTCGGTGAATATCAATGGATCTCACTCTTACCTTCAATGCTCACCTTTTTCATAGGTGTTACTATAATATACGTCGTGCACCATGGTCTCACATACCTCTTCGCAAAGAGATTCCACCTCAAAGGTTACGAGTCGGGACAATATGGTTCCCCACCGTTAATGTCGTATTGGGCGCGTCAGGCCGCAGTCTACGTTGTTGCGTTGACGACGATGAAAATGCTTGTTGTAGGGTTGTTTACAGTGTGGCCAGGGATTTCGCAAGTGGGGGACTGGTTGCTCAGTTGGACTGCTATCGGTAACGGCGATGCCTTTCAAATTATATTGTGTGTTATCCTTTCTTCATGGTGATAATGGTCTTATCGTGCCTTCATAGTGTCATGGGTCTCTTCCCTATCATCATGAACATCCTTCAATTCTGGCTCATTGATTCCATTGTTAAAGCTTCTTCAAACTCAGTCGAATTTCTCACCAATTCACCCCGTATGTCTGATGTGCATGATCGAGAACCGCTCTTTCGTGCGCCAGAAGACGAAGAGGACGATGCTCATTGCGATATAGAGAATCCTCGACTCCCTTACATAAGGATGTCAACTGGAGATGACGCAGAGACGATAGTTGCATCTGAAGAGTCCAAGGGAAAATACAGCGGAACCGCCTCTCCATTATCGATACCACACTCCACGTCTTCTCTGGTGCCGCACGATTATCCTCCAAGCGTTGGAAGTTTGTCGTCTCAGAGCTCCCGTTCTCGGCACAAGTACAAGCGTTCACCGCCATCTCCACTTGAGTTCCAAACGTCTCATATACCGGCAATCAACTCCCCCGATCCACCTCGATCGCATCTAACAGATGTGGACCATAGCACATTGGAAAGAGAGGATTGTGATGAACAAGTAGCGGATGAGGAGCGGGCTGGCACACGGATAGAACAGACCAAGGGTATTGTCGATATGATTTGGCGCCGTACGCTTAGGAGCTTGTGAAGCATCGGTTTCCTTGTCATCATCCCACATTCATTCATTCATCATGTATGA